AGAATTTCTGTGGAATCTGTGGTGATTTCCCCTTTATCATTTTTTATTGCATCTATTTGGTTATTCTCTCTTTTATTTTTTATTAATCTGGCTAGTGGTCTATTTTCTTGATCTTTTAGAAAAACCAGCTCCTGGATTTATTGATTTTTTTGAAGGGTTTTTTATGTCTCTATCTCCTTCAGTTCTGCTCTGATCTTAGTTATTTATTGTCTTCTGCTAGGTTTTGAGTTTTTTTTATCTTGCTCCTCTTGCTCTTTCAATTTTGATGATAGGGTGTCAATTTTGGATCTCTCCACTCTTCTCATGTGGGCACTTATTGCTATATATTTTCCTCTAGAGACTGCATTAAATGTGTCCCAGAGATTCTGGTATGTTGTGTCTTCATTCTCGTTGGTTTTGAAGAACTTCTTTATTTCTGCCTTCATTTTGTTGTTTATCCAGTCAACATTCAAGAGCCAGTTGTTCAGTTTCCATGAAGCTGTGCAGTTCTGGGTTAGTTTCTGAATTCTTAGTTCTAACTTGATTGCACTATGGTCTGAGAGACTGTTTGTTATGATTTTCATTCTTTTGCATTTGCTGAGGGTTGATTTACTTCCAATTATGTGGTCAATTCTTGAGTAGGTGTGATGTGGTGCTGAGAAGAATGTATATTCTGTGGATTTGGGGTGGAGAGTTCTGTAAATGTCTATCAGGTTTGCTTGTTCCAGGTCTGAGTTCAATTCCCTGATATCCTTGTTAATTTTCTGTCTGGTTGATCTGTCTAATATTGACAGTGGAGTGTTAAAGTCTCCCACTATTATTGTGTGGGAGTCTAAGTCTCTTTGTAAGTCTTTAGAAACTTGCCTTATGTATCTGGGTGCTCCTGTATTGGGTCCATATATATTTAGGATCATTAGCTCTTCTTGTTGTATCGATCCTTTTACCATTATGCAATGTCCTTCTTTGTCTCTTTTGATCTTTGTTGCTTTAAAGTCTATTTTATCAGAGATGAGAATTGCAACTCCTGGTTTATTTTTGCTCTCCATTTGCTTGGTAAATCTTCCTCCATTCCTTTATTTTGAGCCTTTGTGTATCCTTGCATGTGAGATGGGTTTCCTGGATACAGCACACTGATGGGTTTTGGCTTTTTATCCAATTTGCCAGTCTGTGTCTTTTGATTGGTGCATTCATCCCATTTACATTTAGGGTTAATACTGTTATGTGTGAATTTGATACTGCCATTTTGATGCTAGCTGGCTGTTTTGCCCGTTAGTTGATGCGGATTCTTCATTTTGTTGCTGCTCTTTACCCTTTGGTATGTTTTTGGTGTGGCTGGTACTGGTTGTTCCTTTCTATGTGTAGTGCCTCTTTCAGGAGCTCTTGTAAAGCAGGCCTGGTGGTGACAAAATCTCTGAGTACTTGCTTGTTCGTAAAGGATTTTATTTTTCCTTCACTTACGAAGCTTAGTTTGGCTGGATATGAAATTCTGGGTTGAAAGTTCTTTTCTTTAAGGATGTTGAATATTGGCCCCCACTCTTTTCTGGCTTGTAGGGTTTCTGCCGAGAGATCTGCTGTGAGTCTGATGGGCTTCCCTTTGTGGGTGACCCGACCTTTCTCTCTGGCTGCCCTTAGCATTTCCTCCTTCATTTCAACCCTGGTGAATCTGATGATTATGTGCCTTGGGGTTGCTCTTCTTGTGGAGTATCTTTGTGGTGTTCTCTGTATTTCCTGGACTTGAATATTGGCCTGCCTTGCTAGGTTGGGGACGTTTTTCTGGATAATATCCTTAAGAGTATTTTCCAGCTTGGATTCATTCTCTTCGTTACGTTCAGGTACACCTATCAAAAATAGATTAGGTCTCTTCACATAGTCCCACATTTCTTGGAGACTTTGTTCATTCCTTTTTGCACTTTTTTCTCTAATCTTGGTTTCTCGTTTTATTTCATTGAGTTGATCTTCGACCTCTGATATCCTTTCTTCTGCTTGGTCAATTCGGCTGTTGAGACTTGTTCATTCTTCGTGAAGTTCTCGTGTTGTGTTTTTCAGCTCCTTCAATTCACTCATATTCCTCTGTAAGTTGTCCATTCTTGTTATCATTTCCTCAAATCTTTTTTCAACGTTCTTAGTTTCTTTGCATTGAGTTAGAACATGTTCTTTTAGCTCATGGAAGTTTCTCATTACCCAACTTCTGAAGTCTGATTCTGTCTTTTCATTATACTCATTCTCTGTCCAGCTTTGTTCCCTTGCTGGTGAGGAGTTGTGGTCCCTTGTAGGAGGTGAGGTGTTCTGGTTTCGGGTGTTTTCCTCCTTTTTGCGCTGGTTTCTTATCTTTGTGGATTTATCCACCTGTCATCTGAGTAGTTGCTGACTTTTTGATTGGGTCTCTGAGTGGACACCCAGATTGTTGATGATGAAATATTTCTGTTTCTTAGTTTTCCTTCTAACAGTCTAGCCTCTCTGCTGTAAGACTGCTGAGGTCCACTCCAGGCCCTGCTTGCCTGGGGATCACCTGCAGCAGCTGCGGAACAGTAAGGGTTGCTACCAGTTTCTTTTGCTATCTTTGTCCCAGAATGATGCCCGCCAAATGTCAGTCTGATCAACCCTTTGTGAGGTGACTCTTTGTATATACAGGGTTTAGGGAGCTGCTTGAGGAGACAGTCTGTTCTTTATAGGAGCTCAATTGCTGATCTGTGATCTCCATTATTCATTCAGAGCTGCTAGGCAGGTACCTTTAAGTCTGCTGCAGCAGAACTCATAACCCCATTTTTTTCCCCAGGTGCTCTGTCCCAGGGAGTTAGGGCTTTATTTATGAGTATCCATTATGCTGCTGCATTTTTTTTTTTTCAGGGCTGCCCTGTCCAGCAAGGAGGCAGCCTAGTCACTGTCTGCCTGCAGAGGCTTTGCTGACCTGCTGTGGGATCCGCCCTGTTGCTGTGTGAACATCCCTACAGTCCTGTTTATATGGGTGTGGTTAGAACTGCCTTGGCAATGGTGGCCCACCTCTGTAATGGCGGACTCTCTCTGTTATGGTGGGTTGCCTCAGCAATGGCAGGCTGCCTCAGCAATGGTGGACTACCTCCTTAGGGGTTGAGTGCCTCAGTAATGGTGGATGCCCCTCCCCCACTGAGCTGCACTGTCCTGGGGTCAGCTGTGCTTGCCATGAAACTCTCAACCCTGAGAATTTCCAATTGCTGTTTTTTGTTTGTTTGTTTTTGTGGGGGTGGGACCTGCTGAGCCTGATCACCTGGCCTTTTTTATTTTAAGTTGAATGGTTGACTCTCTCCCAGGTGTTCCAGTCGCCTGCTGAAAGGGTGCTGGGATATGTGTGATTTCCCATGCGGCGACCCACTGCGCTGGCTGAAACAATGGCTCTGCCTGGGAATCTCTTGGCCTGGCTCCCTGTTTCAGACCCGTTTAATCAGATGAATGGACAAATCTGCCTTCTTGGAGCTCCAATTGCCAGCTTAAAAGGGCAATCAGACCAGTGTATTTTATATGGAGAGCTGCCGCACTGGGGCACTGGCAAAACAGCCGCGCCAGCCAGAACAGCTGTGCTGGTGACATGTGGGGCTCCTCTGCCTGGGAATCTCCTGGTCTGTGGGCAATAAAAATCCATCTGGAAATGCGGCGTCCACTCACACTCTGTGCTTTCACTGGGAGCTGCAATCCTCAGCTGCTCCTAAAGGGCCATCTTGGATCTTCTCTGGAACTGGTTTAATTTCACACTCCAGAGTAGTGAGAGCCACAAGATGCCTTCTGCTTCTTTCCTTGGGGCACAGTTTATTGTTAGTAAACTTGTACTCCTTCTCAGCCTTTTGAGTATAATCAAGTCTGTAGTGTCTGTGATAAGATAGCTTAGAGATTATGTTTGCAGTCCCTATCAGCTGTGTGGCTTTGTACAATAAGCATGGAGAATTGAAGACAAGGAATTTTAGCCAACACTTACTTGTTTGGAACTTTGGGCTGGTACAGTAAAGTATAAAGGGATACCATGACATCTGGGGACAGTCAGATGTACAGGTTCTTAGAATAAAAATTGCAGGGGACTGTCATGATGGTGGCACTGAGCTATAAAATGAAAGAGCATCACAATCAAACTTCTTTCACAGCTTTTCTTTTGCTAATGCCCAATTAGACATCTTCCAAGCCTTCATAAAAGCAGTCCTGCTGAAATAAAAAAATATCATTTTAAAACATTTTCCTAGGAAAGCATTATCAGGATGTTTCTTTGGCTTCCTGGGAGAAATGAACATGTGATTAATATATATTTTCTGGCGAATAAGAACCAGGATTGAAGAAACATGTTTGGAGCTATTAAATTTTAATAAAAATAAAACAAACAAAATTACTTTTCTATTGCTGATAGAATGATACATAATTTTGAAATTCTGGTGGAAGCACAGGTATTTTCCCCCATTTTTATTTATAGATCTTTAACAGCCTAGGGTTTACACCCTGTCACTTTTTTCTTGCCGTTTTTTTTCCTTTAAAAATAGCACCTAACAATTTTCACCTCGAACTCATCCACTCACATTTTAAAAGGTGATATCTTTGGAGAAAACTTGTAGTTGATCACAAGATCATCCACTAGACTTAATTTTATCTGGAAGGCTGACCTGACATTAAATGTTTGTGAAAAGAGCTGTGAAAAGTAAGCACTACATGGGAAGATTTGTGAGTTCTTTAATTCAGAAGAGATAGGAAGCTGTGGATTTTTGCATTAATCCATTTATTGAATAACAGGAGGAAATCAGACTGCCCGTGATTACCCACCCTTGTTTACCAGTTGGAATGCCCAGCTGCAGCTGGGTTGATTTGACAGTGCACAGGGTTGGGTTTAATCATCTTCTTTTGTCTGTCTTGAAAGCGGATGTTGAAGTGGAATCTCTCCACCTGCTGTATAAGAAGCAGTATCTCCCTCTTCACACTTGACTTCATAAAACTTTAATGTCTTTCCAGGATTGATAAGAGTTGATGAAGCCTACTGTTTCAGACTTGGCATTTTTGCTTTTGTTTTTCAGACTGTTTATTCCATGGCTCCGTTCCCTTTCCCACAATTGGCAGAGTTGAGGGAAAAATATACCTACAACATTACACCATTCCCAGCCACAGTAAAACCCACCTCAGTTTCTGGGTAAGGTTTTTTAATTCCTTGTTGTTTTTATGATGGAAGACTTAATATCTTAATTTGTTATTGTAAATTAATATTTATGAAGCCCCAGAAATCTGTTAATTTGAAACTTAGAATCTGAATGTCCCTTTCCAAATGGTTTTGACTTGACCTCAAGAGATTTTTAAAAGTGTATTTTCCAGAGGAATTTGGAACATAAACTGAAGAGATATTTAGTGACCCCACAACTTATCTGATGATATCAAGCATTAAAAATCTCAATAGTTAAAATAGTGTGGAACCTGTATACAAATACATAGATGAGCTAATTTGGAAACTGTGAAGACCAGAAATTGACAACTCTATATACAAGGGTAATCACATGAAAAATAGGCATATTGAATCCATGGAAGAAAGTTAAGCTATTTAGTAAATGGTGATGGGCTAATGAGAACTAATTTGGAACAGAACTGAGAGTCAAACGTCTTACTATATGCCAGGATAAATTTCATATGGATGAAGAAACAATGAAATAATAAAATTAGCATAAGAAAATGTGGAAGAATTCCTTTAGTTCTTTGGAATTGGGAAGGCCTTAATAACTGACTCAAAATAAAAAAAAGGAAAAAAATATAAGTACTTTAAATATAATTTTCTGCGTGGCCCAAACCAAACCTCTATAAGTAGACTCAAAAATATCTGTGGAAGGCTACTTTTAACTTACCATACAAAATAGGGACTGATATTGCTGATATATAAAACCCATAGAAATCGATAAGAAAATGGCCACCCAAGCTGGATGTGGTGGCTCATGCCTGTAATGCTAGTACTTTGGGAAGCTGAAGCAGAAGGATCACTTGAGGCCAGGAATTCAAAACCAGCCTGGGCAACATAGCAAGACCCTGTCTCTACAAAAAATACAAAAATTAGCTGGGTGTAGCAGTGCAGCCTATAGTCCTAGCTACTCGGGAGGCTAAGGCAGGAGGATTGCTTGAGCCCAGAAGTTTATAATAGTGGAATATTGGAAACCACTCAAGTGTACACCATTAGCAGCTTGGTTTCACACTATGGGCTGTGTACAACCAGTACACCTGTAATAAGAGGAAGCTTTGTGTATGAATATGGAAAGGCTTCTTTTCTTTCTTTGTTTTTTCTAAACCTTGCTCTGTCACCCAGGCTAGACTGCAGTGGTATGATCATGGCATACTGCAGCCTTAACCTTTCAGGTTCAAGTGATTTTCCCGTCTCAGTCTCCTAAGCAGCTGGGACCACTGCCACGCACCACCATGCCTGGCTAATTTTTAGATTTCTTGTAGAGACAGAGTCTCGCTATGTTACCCAGGCTGGTCTTGAACTCTTGGGCTCAAGCAGTCCTCCTGCCTTGGCCTCCCAAAGTGCTGAGATTATAGGTGTGAGCCACTGTGCCCAGCCCGTAAAGATTTCTTACATGAATAAAGGCAAGATGCAGAAGAGCATATTATAGTATGCTAATAGTTATGCAAAAAGAAGAGAAAAATAAAAGCAGGTAGTCATATTTGCTTATCTGTGTACAGAGAAACTGAAGAATACATAAGAACCAGTAACAATGGTCACCTGTGGGAATTAGGTGGGAGATTCCCAAAGGGGACCATGGTTACTAGTTTCAATGGGCAGAAGTTGGACAGAGATGCAAGGGAAACTTATTATAAATCATGTAATTATATATAATTTTGTTTCTTTTGAGATGGAGTCTTGCTCTGTTGTTGCCCAGGCTGGAATGCAGTGGTGCGATCTCAGCTCACTGCAACCTCTGCCTCCTGGGTTCAAGCAATTCTCTAGCCTCAGCCTTCTGAGTAGTTGGAATTACAGGTGCGCACCACCACGCCCAGCTAATTTTTGTATATTTTTAGTAGAGATGGGGTTTCACTGTGTTAATTATATATAATTCTATGTTAATTATATTTACAGTATTTAAACCATGTAACTTTATTATGTTTTAAAATACCATGGTTTTCTTTGTGTATTTCTTTTTGTCTTTTATGTTTTTCAAGACGCCATAGTAAGGTCAGAGACAGTGATGAAGAGAATGACCCAGATGATGAGGATGCTGTTGTTAATGCAGTGGGATGTCTTGGACCTTTCAGTGGGTTCTTGGCTCCTGAACTGCAGAAGTACCAAAAACAGATTAAAGGTAAAGAGATGGCTCTTGATTTAGATACCATGATGTATTGGCTTACTATAATAGGGGTAATATTGTTGTGTCTTATAGATGCCTCAGTAATTTTCTGAACTGGTTACAACTATTAAAAGTCTTTATTAGGCTAGGCATGATGGATCATGCCTGTAAGCCCAGCACTTTAGAAGGCTCAGACAGGAGGATCATTTGAAGACAAGGTGTTCAAGACCAGCCTGAACAACATAGGGGAGACTCTGTCTCTACCAAAAAAAAAAAAAAAAAGACAACAACAATATTAAAAAGTCATTACTAGGCTGGGTGCGGTGGCTCATGCCTGTAAACCCAGCACTTTGGAAGGCTGAGGCAGGTGGATCATGAGGTCAGGAGTTTGAGACCAGCCTAGCCAATATGGTGAAACTCCTTCTCTACTAAAAATACAAAAATTAGCTTGGCATGGTGGCGCTCTCCTGTAGACCCAGCTGCTTGGGAGGCTGAGGCAGGAGAATCACTTGAACCCAAGAGGTGGAGGTTGCAGTGAGCCCAGATTGTGCCAGCCTGGGTGACAGTGTAAAATTCCGTCTTAAAAAAAGATCATTACTAAAAATATCTCCTTTGTTACTTTATCTTTTTTATCACTTAAAGAGTTTTCTCTGTATTATGTGTTACATGCATAATAAACATTTCTTTTTCTCTGTGATGACTTTTGCTCCCATTCATTGGATTCAACTTTGTATGCTAAGTTCCTTAGCACAGAGCCTGGCATATACTAGATGCTTAATATATTCTATCTGAGTTTAATTTACATTATTCCAGACTGACTTCTCTTCCAATAGGATTAGCCTTTAAATCAAAACACTATTGTCACCTCTACTTGAATTTCTTGAGTGATAAGAAACTCATTATTTCAAAAGACACTTTGCTAGATTCTTCCCCTTAGTCCATGGTTTCTAGTTACAAAGAGGTAATTTCCACCTACCCATTCTACTAATAGTTTTTCTCTCTCTTTTTTTTTTCTGTTTGAAGGCATTGTTGTTTATTAACTGACCAGATTACAAAAATAATCATGGTAGACCCCTTAGTTCATCCTTCTAATAAGCCTGTAGCTCTTCTCTTCCCCGTTGCCAGCATCTCTACCTTCTTCAAAATAGGAGGGCTTTTTCTTCCTTCCACCTTGTAAAGAGGATAATTTGAAGGGTCATAGGAAGTTGTCACAGGAAGTTATTGGCTGCTTTGAAGCCTTTTCCAACAGTATATATCCATGAATCAGATCCTCCAGGCAGACGATGTCATATTTACCAAGAGATTGAGCAAAGTGTTATCTGTAATGGCAATTTGCTTCTTATTGATTTTTGCTATAACGACATTTGTAGATTAGTTCATTTACTTACATTAAGTTTGGGTACACCCATGCAATGTATGGTTCTCCAATCCTTGCTATGTTAATTCAAGCCTTCTTGAGCTTAACAAAGGTTCCCTTGAAGATCTGGCAAAGGGGAAGAAACCCCAACACCTTTCAGACCTTTGGGCTCACACCATTGATACCTCTGATCCTTAGGGAAAATGCCAGTTTGAGTTCTGTAAGAACATAGAAGTTGTCAGATTTTCTTGCCATTCCAATCTCAGTTCTGTCCATCTGCCTGTATTCCTTGTGACTGTGTTTAGCTTGTTCATAGATAAGCTTCCTCCTTGTCTTTTGAAGCATCTTTTGGGCAAACTTCTTTCTCAGGTGCTTGATCTTTAGCTCTGCAAAATTCCTCTGCTTTTTCTTAAGGGTTTCTTGCATAGCAGGAACCTTTTTCTTCTCTTCAACACATTATCATGTCCTCTAAAGCTTTCTCAAAGACCCAAGTTCAAAATTTCTTTAAGCATGTCTCTTAAGCTGTGACTTCTGTACCTTTTATTTATTTATTTATTTTTGAGATGGAGTTTCGCTCTTGTTGTCGAGGCTGGAGTGCAGTGGTGCGGTCTCAGCTCACTGCAACCTCCACCTCCTGGGTTCAAGCGATTCTCCTGCCTCAGCCTCCCAAGTAGCTGGAGTTACAGGCATGTGCCACCACACTTGTATAATTTTGTATTTTTAGTAGACATGGGGTTCCACTACATTGGCCATGCTGGTCTCGAACTCCTGACCTCAGGTGATCCACCCACCTCAGCCTCCCAAAATACTTGGATTAGAGGCATCAACTATCACACCTGGCCTTTTTGGACTTCCTAATATTCTGTTAATTTACCTCTGGAAATCCTGTAATTTGGTAATGTTCCTCTTAAAATGTGGTGCTCTGAATCACATGCCATATTTTATTTCATTTTTTTTCTATACAGAATAGACTTCCTGTAGTCTGGGCATTATCAATATTATGTACTGTTTTAAAGTTTGTCGTCCTCTATGTTGTTTGTCTTGGATGGCAGCTTTTCCTTTAGCATATTTATTCTACCTCTTCTAGTTTGAAGACCATTCTCTTTGTTCAAAGAGGTTAGAAACATGCTGAAAGAGGACAGAAACAGAATAGATGTCAGGCACCTCTGTTCTCTTTGCCATCTGCTAACTTTATGTTGCCTTCTTGAAGTCACGGGGCTGTCTCCTAATTATTCAGCTCTGCTTGGAAGGTAGGAGCAGTGGCAGCAACTGCTACTACTTCTAACTTTTGGTTGTGATCTTTTGGAGTATTTCCTGTAAGCCTTAGCTTGTTTTGAGTTTTAACCTCCTTAATAGCTGGGCTCGTACTGTTCCGTGAGTATGTCCTTGGTATGTGCTCTTCTCTCATCTTTTTAAATGACTTTTAAAAATCTGAACCCAACAAGAGTCTTCTTGATTTCTGCAATGCCTTCCCCCAACTTTCTTTTCTTTTTTTTTTTTTTTAGGGAGGAAGGCAGGAAGGGAGGGAAGGAGGATGGTAGGGAGGAAGGAAGGGAGGAAGGAAGGAAGGAAGGGAAGAAGGGGGAAGGGAGGGAGGGAGGGAAGGGAAGGAAGGAAATCAAGCAATGAGAGAGACATTGCCGACCTGGATCTAGAGGTTTACAAGTTGATTTCTTTTTCTTGAGAGAAGGAAAGAAAAAAAAATAAGTAAAGGAGAGGAAGAAAGAGGAAGAGAAAGAGGGAGAGTAAACGGAAATATTGCTTTATTCTGAAAAAAATTGGGTATTAATAATGGCCAATGTTGCATTTAAACTTATGAGTAGGTGTGATGTGGTATTGACAAGAATGTATATTTTATGTATTTGAAGTGGGGAGCTCTATAAATATTTATTAAGTTTACTTGTTCCGGATCTGAGTTTGAGTCCTTGATATCCTTATTAATTTTCTGTCTCATTGAGTCTAAGTCTTTATGTATCTGGGTGTTAGGATCGTTAGCTCTTGTTGTTGCATTGATCCTTTTACCACTATATCTTTGTTGCTTTAAAATCTATTTTATCCTATATGAGAATTGCAACTCCTGCTTTTTATTTATTTATTATTTATTTTTGCTCTCCATTTGGTTGGTAAATCTTTCTCCATCCCTTTGTTTTGAGTCTTTGTGTATCCTTGCATGTGAAACAGGTCTGGGTGTAACATGCCATTGGGTTTTGGCTGTGTCTTTTGATTGGGGGATTTAGTCGATTTAAATTTAGGGTTACTGCCATTTGATGTTAACTGGCTGTTTTATCCATTCGTTGGTGTAAATTCTTCTTTATGTTGGTGCTCTTTACTTTTTGGTATATTTTTAGAAAGGCTAATACTGGTTGTTTCTTTCTGTGTGTAATGCTTCTTTCAGAAACTCTTGTAAAGCAGGCCTGCTGGTAATAAAATCTCTGAGTTCTTGCTTGTTCATAAAAGATTTTATTTTTCCTTCAGTTGTGAAGCTTAGGTTGGCTGGATATGAAATTCTGGGCTGAAGGTTCTGTTCTTTGAGGATGTTGAATAATGTCCCCCACTCTCTTCTGGCTTGTAGAGTTTCTGCTGAGAGATCTGCTGTAAGTCTGATAGGCTTGCCTTTGTGGGTAACCTGACATTTCTCTCTGGCTGCCCTTAGTATTTTCTCCTTTGTTTCAACCCTGGTGAATCTAACGATTATGTGCCTTGGGGTTGCTCTTCTTGAGGAATATCTTTGTGGTGTTCTCTGTATTACCTGGGGTTCAATGTTGACCTGCTTTGCTTGTTTAGGAAAATTTTCCTGGATAATATCCTGAAGGGTATTTTCCAGCTTGGATTCATTCTCTCCGTCGCATTCAGGTACACCTATCAAACGTAAATTTGGTCTTTTCACATAGTCCCACATTTCTTGGAGACTTTGCTCATTCCTTTTTATCCTTTTTTCTCTAATCTTTTCTTCATGTTTTATTTCATTAAGTTGGACTTTGACCTCTGATATCCCTTCTTCTGCTTGAACAATTCGAGTGTTTAAACCTGTGCATACTTCTCGGAGTTCCTGTATTGTATTCTTCAGTTCCATGAATTCACTCATACTCCTCTCTAAGTTGTCTATTCTCAATAGGATTTTATCAAACCTTTTCTCAAAGTTCCTAGTTTCTTTACGTTGGGCTACAACATGTTCTTTTAACTCACCGAAGTTTGTTATTATCCATTCCTTGAAGAGTACTTCTGTCATTGGGATGCGCTCGTTCTCCATCAAGCCTTGTTTCATTGTCGAAGTGTTTCATTGTCGTGATCATCTTTAGAGGGAGAGGCATTCTGACTTTGAGTATTCTCAGCTTTTTTACGCTGGTTTCTTCCCATCATTGTAAATTTATCCTTCTGTCGTCTTTGAATTTACCAACTTTCAGATTAGGTCTCTTGAGTGGGCGTCCAGGTTGTTAGTTCCCAGGGCCAGAGCAGCACCGTTAAAACTGATGGTGCTTTTCTTCCCAGGATTCTCCTGTCGGGCTTCCTTCTTGTGTCCATAGTAGGCGACTCTGCCTTCCTGGGGCTCCAAACCTCGGTCAGAAGGGAAACCAGTCCCGTTTACTCTGCGCCGAGCGCTGCTGCCACGAGGTGCCATCACAGCTTCTGCACCAGGCTCTAGTGTTGTGCTGGGGGGCCCGTGTGGGTCCTCCAAACCTGTTTAGTCTGCTCCGAGAGGTGTCGCGCCGAGGTGCCGGCAGAACCGCTGCGCCGGCCACGAGAGTCGCGCTGGCGACCTGTGTGTTTCTTCCACTGGGGATCTTGTGCTCCGTGAGTGACCAGAATTTGTCTGAAAGTGTGGCGTCTTCTAGTTCTCTGCACCTTCACTGAGAGCTGCAATCCCGGGATGTTAGCGATCAGCCATCCTGGATCGTTCTCCACCCCCCCGCCCCCGACTTTCTTATTGCTTGAGTTTCAGCTTTTGATTTCTAGCCATAGGATCAATATATATTTTTTTAATACTTTACGTTCTGGGGTACATGTACAGATGGTGCAGTTTTGTTACATAGATATACACATGCCATGGTGGTGGTTTGCTCCATCCATCACCCTGTCATCTACATTAGGTATTTCTCCTAATGCTATCCCTCCCCAATCCCCCCACCCTCTTCTATCCCACCCCTAGCCCCTGACCCCCCCCAGGCCCTGGTGTGTGATGCCCCTCCAGGATCAATATGTATTTTAATGATAAAGTTTTTGAATTTGCATTTCTGTAGGCTGGGTCTATGTTCCATTTTTCTTCTCTGTTTTTCTTTCTGTGCATTTTTGTGCTTTAGAATGACATGATCACTTTCTCCTAAATTTCATCATGAGTCTTTCTTGTTGATTTTGCTCTGATTAGCAGTTTGTCTTTTAGTTTTCTTCTCCTTACAGAAATGATTATAGTAAAAAAATGAAGAAGTAAGTTTATGAGATATTTAGCCTTTGTCTGAATAACACTCTCAGCAGATGTTAGGAGAGTTAGAATCTCAGTCTTTTTAAAATTTGGCCCCCATGTCAGTTTTGCAAATTGCGCTGGAGAAGCTTGTTCTCTCCTGCTTTGGCCTGTGTGGTCTGTGGGTTACCCCCACCCAGTATTGTTTCTCTTTCTTGGAAGTCATCTCAATTTTATTTAAGAGACAAATCTGCTAGTTGTAGGTATCATAAGAGCAGATATCATATCAGATATAACAACAGAGTGAAGAGGAAATGTTTGTTAAATGAACAAAGCATTCATTCTAGTGATACAGTGCTCTGAAGTCTTGATAATTTTATAAATTGTGTAACTACTTTCAATTTAAGAAAAATGCACTTTTAATGACTGTCTGAACTCTACAAACCATCAATCTCATATAAATCCTCATATAGTTATGTGGAAATCTGTGCAATGATTTTAGAAATTAAATCTTTCTAACAGAATCTTAGAAAATGGCAGTGATTTTTATCTGTAGGCAGTTGATGTTATGTCTATATAGTTAACAAACTGGTAACAAAATCAAACACTGAAACCACATAGCTCATTTCAGACCCACAGCCAGGTTAATGAGAAAATGCAGAAGTATTTTCAGGAGCAAATCAAAATAAGCACTAGGCAAACTCTAGTATGCATTTTTTTTTCTGTGGTTTATAATTTCCCGGAGGTTAAGATCCTGCACTGGTTTCTAGTGTAGTCAATTTCCATTTACTCCTGTTCCCCTCCACTGACCATCTCCTTATGTCTCATCCCTTGAGTGCAGAGCCAAATGAGGAGCAGAGTCTGAGATCTAATAACATTGCAGAGCTGAGTCCAGGAGCAATCAATTCCTGTCGAAGTGAATACCACGCAGCTTTTAACAGTATGATGATGGAACGCATGACCACAGATATCAATGCACTGAAGCGGCAGTACTCTCGAATTAAGAAGAAGCAACAGCAGCAGGTTCATCAGGTGTACATCAGGGCAGGTAATGTGATTCTTCAACTGAATCAATTTCAACTCTATCTCAACTTGTAAAATGAAGAACAAATAATCCTAGGAAGGCCTTGAAATTACTAACTGTAGCTCAGTATCCATCAACACAGCTGGCATGAGATAATAGCATATTTAGCATCTCATTTTAAATTTTGTTTTATCAGGCTCTAAAGAAGAAAAAGACTACAGGTTCTTTTTAGGCCCCAAGGACCAGGCAGTTGATGGTATTAAACATGTCTCTACTCTATGTGCTTGTAGAGAAGGGTTTACAAATGATTAGAATGTTGCAAAGCCATGCAATCCTTGGACTGGAGAAATTTTAGAGCTAATGCCCCATACATTTTATGCATTTGAATTTAGAATTTAGTCATCTGTGCACTAGTAAATTAAGCTATATACCAGTCATTTAGGTATTTTAAAACAGATGTTGTGATCAGAGAAAATGGTGGGGGTGGGGAAACTTTAAAAAGCCTGTGCCTTGCTGATGGCAAGTATCTTGGGAGTATACTAAGAAGAACATAATTATAATGGAATTGGAAATGCTCTTTTCCAAGGATTGTCAAGCTTTTTTCTTTTTAATTCCAAAAATCCCAGTGAACAATCTGCTTTATTGTTTAATATATGCTGATTTGGGAGCTGATTTTTCTTGCTTGAGGTGAATATCCTAATGAAATGATGCCTGTCCAGAATTAACTGAAATTAAATTTGACATGTTTTTTTAAGAGGCATGTGAGCATGTGACTGATCCTGCACAAAAATAGAATTTACCTTCCATTTATCAGAGAAGAATAGTTGACTTCCTGACAATTCTCACTTTATCATGAATTGTTAAGAAACCAATCACAAAATAAATGAACAATTTCACTTTAAGTTTCAAAAACATTGACACATACATTTCCTCATTTTGTCTTTAAAACAAATCTATGAGGAAGGCAAAAACAGAGTCTCAACTTCTTCCAAGTGTTGAGGAAATGGTGATTCAGGAAGGCTTAGCGATTGTCCAGGGTTATATAGCTATAGTGACTGGTCAGGCCAGGGCTAGAACACAGGTGTTCTGATTCTGTGCACAGTCCCTTTTCACCTATACTGTCTTTGGGTATGATGGCAAACAGTCTCCCCTGGGTGCCAAATCAGCCCGGTAGTTTGTATCCTAGTCAGCAATCAGCAAACTGTGGTCTGTAGGTCAAATCCTGCTCACTCCCTGTTTTTGTAAATACAGGTTTTTTGTTTTGTTTTGTTTTGTTTTGCTTTGAGATGGAGTCTTACTGTGTCACCCAGGCTGGAGTACAGTGGTACAACCTCAGCTCAGTGCAATCTCCACCTCCCAGGTTTAAGCAATTTTTGAGCCTCAGCCTCCCAGGCAGCTAGGATTGCAGGCATGTACCACCATGCCATGCTAATTTTTGTATTTTTAGTAGATACAGGGATTCACCATGTTGGCCAGGCTGGTCTTGAACTTCTGACCTCAGGTGATCTACCCACCTTGGCCTCCCAAAGTGCTGGGATTACAGGAGTGAGCCACCATGCCTGGCCTGTAAATACAGTTTTGTTTGAACACAAACATGCCCATTTGTTTACAGGTTTGTCTAAGGATCCTTTCACACTATAATGACTAAAATCTTTACAGTCTGGTCCTTTACAGCAAGAGTTTGCTGACCCCTTCTCTAGATCATGGTTGATGTGGTTTTCTTTTTTTCTTTTTTTTTTTTTTTGAGATGGAGTTTCGCTCATTACCCAGGCTAGAGTGCAATGACGTGATCTCAGCTTACCCCAACCTCTGCCTCCTGGGTTCAGGCAATTCTCCTGCCTCAGCCTCCTGAGTAGCTGGGATTACAGGCACACGCCACCATGCCCAGCTATTTTTTTTTTTTGTATGTTTAGTAGAGACAGGGTTTCACCATGTTGACCAAGATGGTCTCGATCTCTTGACCTCGTGATCCATCCGCCTAGGCCTCCCAAAGTGTTGGGATTACAGGCTTGAGCCACCGCGCCTGGCCTTGATGTGGTTTTCTTTATGGGAGAGATCGCTGCTCAAAGGCAAAGCTCTAGAGCATTGGTTTTTGAACTTCAATTTGCATACAGATCATTTGGGGATCTGCTAAAATATAGACTCTGTTTCAGTTGGTTTGGAATGGAGTTGAAATTATACATTTCTAACAAGCCCCTAGGTACTACTGGTGCTGCTGTTTGGGGACTGTATTAGTCTGTTTTCACACTGCTAATAAAGATGTATCCATGACTTGGCAATTTATAAGAGGCATAATGGACTTACAGTTCCACATGGCTGGGGAGGCCTCACAATCATGGTGGAAGGCAAAAAGGAATAAGTCACATCTTACGTGGATGGTGGCAGGCAAAAAGAGAGAACTTGTGCAGGGAAACTCCTGTTTTTAAAACCATCAGATCTTGTGAGACTTATTCACTATCAAGAGAACAGCATGGGAAAGACCCATCCCCATGATTCAGTTATCTCTTACCGGGTCCCTACCATAACACATGGGAATTATGGGAACTACAAGATGAGATTTGGGTGAAGACACAGCCAAACCATATCAGGGACCATGGTTTGAGTAGCATGATTTTAAATGGGATGGTATATGATAGGATTAGCAGCACAGGTGGAAAGATTGAACTTGAACTAGAGGTAAAAAGACTTTAGCTTCTGAGACTTAATGGAAGATGGTGAGGATGGTGGTTGAGGTACAAGCTTCCTAGGTTAGGGAGGATGGGAAGTAGGGGCCTTTCAGATCTGATAGCTTTTGTTTTCATGGAGAAATTGGGGGAAAGTTGTTTGCTGGGAATAAGGTGGGGATGGGAGTAAGTGAGAGGTTAAAGAAAGTAATGGAGATTTAGTTAGGTCATTGAAAATGAGAGAGGGAAATGAAAAGATTGTTTGGCATTGAGGACTCAGTGAAATAGGAGGTCATGAATTTGAAGGGCTCAGTTTCAGAAAAGAGAATGTAATGGAGAGCCAGTCACAGTGACAGGCAAATAATTGAGGGAGGTAGCAGGAATGTGGTGAAGAGGAGACAGTTATTAACATTTTCAGTTGATATTGGGGTCAATGACAACAGTAGAGAAGGGTGAAAGTTAGTTCAGCCAGATGGACATTGAGGAGGAAGGAAGCTCACACACACGGGAAGAGGCCTTCTCCCTACAGCTTCTGTCTGCAGCTGCCATCCCTGGACCATGTGTGTTGAATGCTGCATTGGAAATAGGAGCCTGGTCATAGCCACAGGAGGTCGACAGTAATGCCATCAATAGTGCCTTCTAGGAGAACAAAGATTTTTTGTTTGTTGTTTGTTTTGAGATGGAGTCTCACTCTGTTACCCAGGCTGGAATGCACTGACGAGATCTTGGTTCACCGCAACCTCTACCTCCCAGGTTCCAGCAATTCTCTTTCCTCAGCCTCCGAAGTAGCTGAGATTACCAGTGCATGCCGCCACACCTGGCTACTTTTTTGTATTTTTAGTAGAGACAAGGTTTCTCCATGTTGGCTAGGCTGGTCTTGAACTCCTGGTCTCAAGTGATCCTCCTGCCCTGGCCTCCCAGAGTGCTGGAATTCCAGGCATGAGCCATGGCACCTAGACAAGGGTGAAGCTTTTGGTGCTTTTCAGTTTTCAGTTGGCTTTCAAAGTCCATTGAGGATGCAGGAGTGGTTTTTCATTTCTAGGGCTGGATGCTGGATAGGTGTGATTTCACTGCATTCTCACTACCTTTTTATCACTTCTGTCATTCTGCTGCATCTCACTTCATAATATGCAGTTGTTCTTTTCCCACCTCTCAGAAGCTGATAGATGATAATGCATATGGTTATAGTGTTTGTTGTATTATTTTTAAAAAATATGCAAAGATTTTCTAGGTACAGTACCTCTGAGGTTGCTATGTGGAGCCAAGAGCTCTCTGTAAAAAAACATGAGGGAGTCCAGGCTCTAATTGGAATGAAGGGTCAGAGTCCCTGTTCCTTTTTGAATCATCGTCCTGTGGTGCCTTCCTCTTTAAAGAAGGGAGAATTGGTGCTCTAGGCTATTGGGTTGAATTCAGTTTCTGCTCTCTTCAGTCACATGACTCTGCACCTCCCTGGGGAATAGATGGGAAGGGATGCAGGAGGGCTGGGAGGACCTCCGTGTGATTTCAGTTCTGTGATGGATGTGCTTCTCTGTGGTACACTTCATACTACCTTTCAACATTTCTTTCAGACAAAGGGCCAGTGACCAGCATTCTCCCGTCTCAGGTAAACAGTTCTCCAGTTATAAACCACCTTCTTTTAGGAAAGAAGATGAAAATGACTAACAGAGCTGCCAAGAATGCTGTCATCCACATCCCTGGTCACACAGGAGGGAAAATGTCTCCTGTCCCCTACGAAGACCTTAAGACAAAGCTCAACTCCCCCTGGCGAGCTCACATCCGAGTCCACAAAAAGAACATGCCCAGGACCAAGAGTCATCCGTGCTGTGGGGACACCATAGGGCTGATAGAAGAGCAGAACGAGGCCTGCAAGACCAATGGCCTGGGGGTGGCAGAGGTGTTCCCCTCCGGTTGTACAGCGACAGCTGGAAGAGAAGGCAGCAGCCCTGAGGGCAGCACCGGGAGGACGATCGAGGGGCAGTCTCCGGAGCCGGTGTTCAGAGATGCTGACGTGGATGTGTCTGCCATTCAGGTGAAGTTGGGAGCCCTGGAACTGAACCACAGGGATGCTGCAGCTGAAACTGAGCCCATGGTGCACCTGCCCTGCCAGCGGCACTGCCCAGAGCCACCAAGTGCACCTGAAGAAAACAAAGCCACCAGCAAACCTCCCCAAGGCAACAACTCAAAAACCCCCATCTTTAGCCCCTTTCCCAGCGTCAAGCCCCTGCGGAAATCTGCCACTGCCAGGAACTTGGGATTATATGGCCCTACAGAAAGAACCCCGACCGTGCACTTTCCTCAGATGAGCAGGAGCTTCAGCAAACCCGGCAGTGGAAGCAGTAGCACTAAGAAACGATGATGCCTCCCCAAAACTTTGTATCTGGACTCACCTTTTCACGGTAGTATAAGGGTTGCAGCTGAATGGCTCTATAAGAGTTTTATTTGTCCAGTGAAAATGAATAGGTTCAGATATGAGCAACAGCCCATAAGAAATGGGAACTGGAAGTTTTATAATGGGAGTTAGAACAGGGCTGTTTTCCCATCCACTTGCTAACTGACGAAGTGGATTCTTGTGGCAAAATAAATATTGTGGTTTTATAGTGTGATGTTTTCCCAATTTTTCATTGTGAGCTGTTTAAAAAAGACTGTATATCTAGACTGTTAACTCCTCTCGCATCCTCCTATTCTGGGGGCCTTCAGGGTCCCTTGTGACAGCAACCCGAAACCTTCCAGTTCTCTGGGTGTTACTAATACCCAAGCATGCACATACCAGCTTGCTAGGACAGACACTGTAAAAAGAAAGTAAGTTTCTTCATTACAGAAAACTTCCTGATTTTCCTTTTCATGTTTTACGGAGGGGATTGTGTTGTGTGAGTTTTCCCTCAGTACCAGTCTCCAAATTGTTTTTTTGATCTTATGCTAAGTCAAAGGAGAAAGATCTAGATAGCCTTTCTTTAACTTTCTATTTCTACCTGCAAAATGAAGAAAACCTTTCATCTGTTGAAATTTCGGTCGAAGACCCACTTGAAGATCTTATGCACAGGACACACATGGTATATGCTTTAAGCAGTTGCTCCGAACAGCTTGCTTATGCCACTGAGCTTTTCCTGAGGTTTATTTCCTCCTCTGGAGGAGAGCTTTGATCCTCAGTGGCATGGATGACTTGATGGGCTCCATGTGGAGCCTGGCCTGCATCCCCTACCATGCAGCTCACTCACCCACCAGCTCTCCACTGCAGACGCACAAGGCCTCTGCTCAGAAGCCAGAACACGGCACCTGCAACTTTGTTACTTGAATTTTGTGCTTTTTGATTGGAGTCCTTTGTTGAGTACTTTATTACTTAAACACTGCCTTTCTCTGGAGAAGTCCCCAGTGCTTTCTAGCTCCCTCTCACTCACTCCTGCCCGTTCTAGCTCTCTCTAACCCTGTGGGTCAGGGATAGCATCTCTTGTCTCCACTATGCAGATGGGAACTATGAGCCACACAGAGGTGAAGTAGCACTTCAGTTACTCAAGGTCAGTACTCCCGGTATTCAAGGTGACTTGGCCACATTTCCTTCAGTGCAATAGGCGGGTTTAGTGCTCTTTGTTCACAGATGCATTGGCTACATAGCTTGTAAAAACCAAGACTGGGAAGCCATTCACTAAACTGCCTCCTGACTTGAAGGACCTGTCTCTAGATGGTGGAGTCCCATGCTGGCGTTTTACAAAACCAGCTGTGACTTCCTTACCCTGAAAGGGAGTTCATTTTAAAAATGCTTCAGGCCCCTGTCATTTGGCTGAACAAAAGGCTCACTCCTCAATCCCCTTCTCCCCACTATCATTAGAGGAATAGACTCAGCCTTCATCTTTGTCTCTGGAAGACCTTTGGCGATACTTGCAGAAATACTGTTGATGCAGTCAGTATTAATTTCAGCTAATGGATTGTTATTGCTGAAATGAAAACGACAATTTTAGATCAGGCTTTTACTATGAGAGGTACTAATTTTTATAATAAAATAGAGAATGGTTGTGTGGGCTTTTTTTGAACAGAAAACACAACAATGACCTATACAGTGAGAAAATCTATTTTATCGTCTTCATGTTATTTTTATCCCCAAAGGAAATGAAAATAGAAAATATGACTAATAAGTTATTTCAGTTTTGGTCTTGAATTCTGTGCCATCTGAAGTTAGCATCTAGCTTCTTAAAAAGCAGCCACACCCACAGCCTGTTTTTTGGGAAGGGTGTAGGTGGAGAGATGGGCTTATTTTGCATACCACCCTCAGGGCCCAGAGACCCACTGCATTTTCCGAAGTTAAGGAAATGACACCATTTTCTTCTGTCAGCTAAACTTTACAGATAAGAATGATTCCATCTCATATCCTTTTCTTTGCCCCTTCCCAAATGAGTCAGAATAGTCAGGTTCCCTTTGAAGGATGTCTGACCTGAATGGAGAATTGTTCTTTCCTCTCTTGAATCAGCTTACTAGCTCTCTGATGGTCTGGGTTCAAGGAGATGGTTAATGAGGTATATACAAATCCTTATACGAATCCTTGGGATTGCACCACTGCTGTCCACAAACTCAGTTATCAACAACACATGCTGTGTCCCGTGAATGCTCTCTTCTCACCTGTTTCCAGGGTTGGTCTTCCTGAGAAGGGGATGGATGAGATGACACACAGTTTGGGATAAGTATCTGTTGAATGAATGAATAACTGAAAGGATAATAGTCCTTTGAGGTAAAAATGGCCTTGTCAGAATTTTGAAAATCCAGCAGATTCCTGTTAAAGCACTCTGTGTACCAATAACATGCATGCATTGTACCAAGTAATCACAATGTGAATTGGTCAATTTATGAGCCTTGCCTACTTTAGAAAATAAAGAAACCTGCAGTAGCCTCTACCACACAGCATGTACAAAGACCAGTATGGACTTGCTATCTTCCCTATGTATTGGACACTGTATGCAAACACCAGAAGTACTTAACAAGTAGTGGTTTCTTGATTTAATGTCTGTTGCCTCTTAGCATTTTTGCCGGGAATCAACTCATTCTGATGCCTCTACACCTCAGTTCCTCTTACAGAAGCCTCCAGATGATCTAGATCTAGTTAGTAATGTCAGCCTATGGGCTGCAACTGTTTGGGGCATTGTATTCCTGTTTGTCTCTTGTTGTTCTGAAGGATTGTATTGATCACAAAGCTATATGCATAAAGATTCTCATTGTTGTAGCTGTTGTGCCATTTTCTGAGTGCATGCATGGAACACTATTGTGACATTCCCTTCTCCCTTCTTCCTTCATCCCCCAACCCCAACCCCAACCCCCACTGGGTCACATGAACCAGGGAAACAGCCTAGTAAGCTCCATCTCCCTGAGTCCACTGGGTCGCAGGGTGGCCTGTGACCTGCCCAGCATTTGCAGAATAGCTGGTTTCTGAAGATGAGTAAGCACAGAGTTTACCTAAGAGAGCATGTTTATATAAAGTCGACCTTTAGATCTGCCATTTATTTTTGTCTTAATAAAGTGCACAATAAGCATACAGTTTAGCTGCGTGATATCAAACGTTCTGGATGAATAGATGTATATAGTTGCTGCCATCTCCCCATATAAAATCTCTCTTTATGTTGTTTCTGAGCCACTTTCTTTGCTGCCTACAGCATTTGAGGCAGCATTTAAAATATATTACTTTTCCTAATTAGAAAAGTAACAGGTTTTAGAAAATTGGAAAAACACAAACAGCATATGGAATCATCAATATTCTGATATAGATCTTTCCAGTACATATGTGTATGTATGTGTGTACATGCCATTATCTACTAAAAGGTATGTTGAACATGGTAGTTTAAGCTGTCTTTCTGCTGGACGCTCTTAAACAACATGATTTTTAGTGACTAGTATTCCATCATGTGTTCATATGCCAGAATTCGCATAACCAGTACCTCATCAGATAGGTGGTCTGTAGATAGTAGTGGAGACAGTATCCTGTTACGTCTATGCACATAGCCTGAAGTATTTTCTTAGGATATGTGTATAGAAGTGGAGTTGCAGGGTCAGAAAATATGTCCATTTTTAAGACACATGTATCTCCAAATTGCCATTCTTAAAGGTTGAAATTATACAAGCAGTGAATGAGAATGCTTGCTTCGCTTCAACCTGGAAGAGGCAGCAGTCTCTTTCCTTTTTTTCCCCCTTTCTATGACTTCTAGTGTTGAAGTGCCAATAGAAGCATTTTAGAAGCAGTGAGGATGGACATTCATAGCACTCATATCTCACTCCTCACTTTTAAAAGAAGCGTTAAGATGTTTGCTGAGCTTCCTGGTAGGTGCCTATTAGTAGGTTAAGAAAATTTTCTTTTATTCTTTGCTTGCTAAGAGGTTTTTTTTAATCAACATGTATCAAATTTCATAAAAAGAACTTTAATTGTATCTTTTGAGAAGGGAATAGTGCTTGAGACTTGGTATCCTGAACTCAAAGAAATAGCCATTACTAGGTTTTGTCAAAGAATAGTAGATATTTTGGAATTGGAAGTCATACAGTAAAAGTTTTATGTGCAAAATGTTCACTGAAGTATTAAATGTACTAATGGAAACCTGGAAACCATGTAAACATCTGGGAATAGAAGAAATGTTTGGGTGAATTATGACTCATCTCCAGGATGGAAATGAGAAGGCCGGTGAGTATTTGGGCTGTTGAAGTGCGAGTTATCTGTTATTCACATCAGGCAGTTCAGAGTCCAGTCAGCAAATTTACAGTCATAGAGCCACCAGGATATAGCGATGGACGGGAGGCCCTTGCTGGACGGTGGCTGAAAGCAGAACTGCGGGAGTGGTTCTTCCACAAGGGCAGCCTGTGCTCACATGAATGGGGACCGGTACTGTTAGGTGCTGGCTCAGCTTCTGTGCAGTTCCCTGCTGGCCATCTCCCAGTGCTGAATGTCTGACTCAGTTCAGGCTGCTCTAACAAAGTACCATAGACTGAGGTGGCTTAAACAACAGACATTTCTTTCTCACAGTTCCAGAGGCTGAGAAGTCAAAGATCAAGGTGTCTGCAAATTTGGTATCTGGTGAGGAAGGGCCCTCTTCCTGGTTTGCAGATGGCTGCCTTCTTGCTGTGACCTCACATGATAGAGAAAGGGAGTACGTTCTGGTCTCTTCCTCTTCTGATAAGGGCACTAACCTCATCATGAGGGCCCCATCCTCATGATGTCATCTAAACCTAATTACCTCCCAGTGGCGCTACCTTCAAATACCATCACATCAAAGGTTGCTTCCTTCCTGGTGGTTTGCTCTGGTCAGAACAAATGACGTCCCACAAAGTGTCACTCAATCCCATTCTCTCCAACCTTTCCATCCCAGGCAATCTTTAACTGGTTATTCCAGCCTGGGCCCCAGGGGCTTCAAGAGTCTTCTTTTTTTTAACATTAAAAAACCAGAAAGTTGGCTGTTTCTTAGTGTTTACATTCTTGTTATAACAGTTCTAGTTTTCCTTTAGTCAATGCTGATCACTGGGAAGGAGGTAGATCACTTCCCCTATGGAACCAACAGTTTTCTGGGAGGAAACTTCCTGATACCTCAGCCTAGGATCTCCTTATTTCTGGGGAGTCCAGGGATCTATATTAAAATGTGAAACAAGGCAAAAAATTAAAAAAATCTCCCTTAGTCATTTTTTTCTTCTTGAGACAGGGTTTCACTCTTGCTTAGGCTGGAGTGCAGTGGCACAATCTTGGCTCACTGCAACCTCCACCTCTCTGGTTCAAGCAATTCTCCTGCTTCAATATCCCAGGTAACTGGGGCTACAGGTATGTACTGCTATGCCCAGCTAATTTTTTATTCTTAGTAGAGATGGGGTTTCATCATGTTCACAAGGCTGGTCTTGAACTCCTGGCCTCAAGCAGTTCGTCCGCCTTGGCCTCCCAAAGTGCTAGGATTACAGATGTGAGCCACCACACTGGCCTCCCTTAGTAATTTTAATGCTGAACTAAGTTTAGCAACCACCGAACAAGTTAACTGTAGCCATGTGTTGCCTAATGACGGGGAAATCATTAGACAATTTCGATGTTGTGTGAATATCACAGTGTGCTCACACAAACCTGGATGCTATAGCCTACTACACACCTGGACTATATGATGTAGCCTGTTGCTCCTAGGCTACAAACCTGTATAGCAAGTTACTGTGCTGATCACTGCAAGCAGTTGTAACACAATGGTAATTTTGTGTCTAAACATATTAGAAAAGGTACAGCAAAAATACAGTATTACAATCACACAGGACTACCATAACATATGGGGTCCATCATTGACAGAAACATGATGTGGCGCATGACTGTATAATAATGGTCCCCTAACAGGTCTCACTGCCATCCATCTTGGTCCCTCCCACTGCTCACCCCATCTCTCTGCTGCTTGGCCACACACTGCTGCCAGAATGATCTTTCTAAAATGAAAAACTAATTGAGCCATCCCTCTGGTCAAAATCCTTCCTAATTTTGAGGAGGGTAAAACCTAAAATCCTTATCTTAGCATGATTTGGCCCATGGTTAATTTTCCAACGCCTTCCTCATTCATTACCTCGTGCAACCTATCCTCATCACCACCATGACATCAAACATCTGTGGAGCCCCTTGAGCTCAGCACTATTACTAGCTCCTTTGTGCAATCTCACCTATTCCTCCCAAGAGCTCTGTGAAGCTTACTGGCACTGTATTACAGATTATGAAGGTGAAGTGAACAGTTATATCCTTGGCCACTAGGAACGAGGTGGATGAATCCCCCATGGGACCAACAGTTTTCTGCGAGGAAACTTCCTGTACCTCAACCTGGGAATCTCCGTGTCCCTGGAGAGTCCAGGAATCTATATTAAAATGTGAAAGCAAAAAATAAAATCTCCCTTGGTAACTTTTTTTTTTTTTTTGAGACAGGGTCTTGCTCTGTCTCAAAGGTTTGGGAAAAATTGGTTACATGTAAGTTATGTGATAAACTCCATAAATGGATATGCAACAGAATTTAACCTGGAAGGAAAACGCCCAGGGGTTGTTGCTGGCAGCCTCTTGTAACCATGAGGGGAGAGCTTGCTGGAGAAGACTTAACACCGAGCAAGTGGAGCTGAGAAACAGAAAGAAACCAGGCTGCTTTCAGGGCCTGTGAGCCCTGGATCAGGCCATGCCTGAAGCCAAGTTGTCTCATTCTGTTTACTATATCAGCTAACATTCCAGTTTTGGGGCTTTGCCAGTTTGGTCGGATTTTCTATCACTCATGTTGAACAACTCTTAATTGGAACAGAGGTGTTACGAAGATTACAGGTTACAAGGACAAAATGGTGACGGCGTCAGGGAACAGTAATCAGGATTATTTTTTACTTTCCAGTGACTCGAGCCTCTCCTAAGCTTCCCTCTCACTTTTGGCCCCGTCTTCCCGTCATAATAACAGATGGTGTAGAGAGGTGACAGAGTCATGGAACATAGTTCTGGTTTTCTGAACATGGTTCTCTCCTCAAGCCCTTTGGGTCTTCTTTGGTCTTACCTTCTCGTCACAGAGGGAGAGGTGATTTTGAGTGAAAACTGTCTTTCACCAGTTTTGTCTACCATTCTGGTTCCATCTGCATTCACGGAGGAGTCCGGTAGAGGGCAGAGTGACTGTGAGCAAAACATGAAGGAAGAGCTGTTTCGCCAAGTTCCACAAAACCTGGGAGCCTAAGCAACATATGTGTGGGATTTGTCTGACAGCGCAACGGAAACAGCGCGCGGTGTTCGCTCCACCTCCCCCAGGTAACCCGCAGCTTTCTCACGGAGCGGGCTCTAGCGCATCCCTAGTGGCGCCTGCGGCGAAGCAGCAGGGCTTGGTGAGAAAGTGGGTCTCCGGTACCTGCAGTGTTCAGCAGAGCCATGGGAGGACCTGCTGGGAGCACACTTGTTTGCGAACACATGAGAGGCGCCCCCTGAGATTTCAAGAAAACCTTGTCCAGTTAAGGGGGTGGGAGGACTTTATAGGTCCCATTTCAAAATATGTCTGAGAACAGTGTTGAGTTGCTGCAGAGACCGTATCTGGACCAAGACGTTGCTAAGGTCTGGGAAAAGTTGAGCTACATATAACTCATGTGATGAACTCCACAAATGTCTATGAAACAGAATTTAACACATGGTGAAAAGATTTTTGTTGCATGTACAGCTATGGAGAAGAATTACTAATATATTTGTCAACTGCGAAACATCACAGAATCATGGTATCATTTAAT